CCCTCTAGTTGTGATTGACTTCCTACGCAGATCTCCCTACAAGGAAAGGATGCACTAGTGAAGAGATATTCTAAGTGACAGGACTATTTCTTGTGGTGAATTGCTAAGTAGACATTATGATGTTACATGTCACTCTCATGAGCTTGGTTATGGTGAATTTGGCTATGAGAGATGAACGCATTACAGTGATTAGGTGACAAGTTCTCTAAGTCTGAGATGTTACGGCTGGGCCACGACCAGATAAATTCACCCAGCTAGTAAGTCTCACCTTGCCACTTCTGTGTTACGATGACACTAAGTGGCCGCACGAGGCTGTGTGGCACGGTGATACAGAGCACATCTAGGGTCAGCAGGACCTGGGACTGCAGGCTGATTTTACCATGTATTCTGGTTTCCCCTAAGCAAATTATTGAACCTCTCTGAGCTTCTTTTTAAAACCTTGTCTATAAAACTAAATAACAATAAAGTATGAGCTATGTTTTAGCTAAGTATCTAAAAACAGGCAGCTATCCAAAGAACGGTTAAAAACCCCAACCTGGCTCCACACCCTCCATCCTGACTTCTAGGTTCAGTCGCCAGTCATCTGCCCAGGAGAGGTGAGTGCAGCATTCTTTGCCAGACTTCTCCAGGTACAGAAATCCGCTGCAAGCACAGCCCTTCTGCACTTCGTACTGCCTCACATTTGAAAACTGTCTTCTTAGTAAATGTAGCTACAGCTCCAGAGGAGCCACTCTTGTCACTCTCCTTATGGAATAATTCTGTTTACTTTAAACCAGCTGCTATGACATCTCCCCACTCCTCAGCCAACACAAAGACATCATGTTCTTCAAGGAGCCACCATCTGAGACCAGCTTGTTAATAACAAAACTATTCCAGGTTTTAGTGTTCTCCCATCTATGAAATAAACATCCTTTAAGAGACAAATCAGACAGTGTTCAGAGACTGGGTTAGCCATCTTTATAGCACTCCAAAGAACAACTCAAGACACAAACATTAAGTGGATTTTCAAATAGATGTGTTTTTTTTTTTTTTTGACCCAGTTAAATTTTTATTCAGTGAAAAAAGTTGACATTGAGACAAAATTATCTTAAAATTGTGCAACAATATAGTAAAATATTCAGCAGAAGTCAGTGACTTGGAAACTTACCAAGGCAATTAAAATTATAAATACCTAATTTCACTCTGGAGAGAAACAAATTTACAGTGTTTCACTTTAAATAAGAGCAGAACAGGCCTTTATTTTGCTGCAAATACTTTTGACTTTGCCTAAAGTTTCTAATAATTCTGAACAAGAATCTTTACATGAGAAGTGACACGGACTATCTGAGGATAATGTTCCATTTCAGCATTCATGCTCATCCCATTTGTGCTATCACACATGAAACTAATACCATTCTTGGGTTATTACTTGGCTTTGATGATTTAATTCATAATATGGCTGCTCAAAATTAGTGGGCAGAAACATATATACAACCTATCTTCCCTCAACCCATGTTCAGCAGTGGTACTCCTTCTGAAAACATCCTTTGTGTCCATGGGCCCAGCAGTATGCATCTTTTGCTGTCTCTTCCACATCTCAGTCTTGCATAGAAAGTAGTCTACATAAACTTAATGCACTAGCTTTTATTACACAAAAATTGTACCTGAAAGGCAGCACACACCCCTTTTATGAAAAATAACCTAACAGGAATGTCAAAATACAATCCCAGTACAAGTGAAGGTTCTTCCCAGAGTTTTCAAGTCAATCTCTACAATCCTGATGAGGACGGCATTTGGTTTGGTTCTGGATCTCTTCTCTGAGCAACCTCCCAACTCTGCTGAAGCAAGAGAATTTTGAGAATTCACCATGATTCCCTCAGTGGGAGGAGGGACAACCAAACCTGCTGGGGTTGGGGTTTGGGTCTTTGCAGGAGGACTGGAGGTAGAGTCTTTAGGATACAGTGACCATTAGGTGGGTGTCTGAAGGCAGGATTCTCGAGGAGTGGGTGCTTATCTATGAGGGGCTCACCATGCCACTAGTCTCCAAGCTCCCTGCATCACTCAGTGGGTTGAATGATGGGCAAGAGGGATCATGCAGCTGTGCTCCCCATCTGTCCCACAAGTATCCCTAGTGCAACTTCCACAGATGCAACACCAAGAACCCCTCTGCTGAAAGTCAGAAGTTCCAATCAGGTACCCAGCTGGCCAGGGCTGCCAGTAGCTACTGGAATTGCTTATCTGTCTGGAAATAGATGTGCCCCCTCTGGGGTCCCTGGAGGAACTCTACTCTGTCATGTCATCCACTTGGACCCATGTCTCACAAAGTTCAAGAGTGTTCACCACCAAAAGGAGCAAATTCAGCTTCCATAGAAAACACATACACAGTCCCCCTGCCCACCAAATTTTAGTGGCCCAATAGTGGTCTACACCACGTAGGCATCTTGTCATATATATCTGGGACAGAACAAAACCTTTGCCCATACAGTGGTTTCAAGGTCACACCTACACAGTACAAAAGCCCCTACTCTGCAAGCAACCAGGTGTCCAGGTGGTCACAGTGAAGAGTTATCCAGTCACCTTCAAAGACTTAACACAGTATCTTTTTCACTCGCAACTGTCACTCCAAGCTCTGGACTCTTGCAGATGGCATAAGGAACATCAAAACCTCCACAAAACTGTGTAGCAGGAAACAGGGGTGCGTGCTTCAAAAGTTCATAAAAATATACAATTTACACATAACTGCATCTATCTAGCTTAGTCTTCAGGACCTTAGCTCTTCTGTTTATATAAAATACTCTAGCCCTAAAAGGCTGCTTGTCTTCAAACAGCACAGTGGCATCTTCCAAGGACGGGTGATGGCTGGTCTCTACAGTACTGTGCACCGAGCACCGGGAGGCACTGGAAACTAGAACTGGAGGCTCCGAAGCATCTCCCGCTGCCAACTGGAGATTTACGCTCTGTAAAAAGGCTTGCCTATGGCATCGCTGGAAATAACGTCTTAGAGCTTTTCTGTCAGCTTTTACAGATGCCATCAAAAAGTTGGCAGAAGAAGGAAAGAAGAAAATATACTTTCTCATGGTTCAATTAAATGACTTGCCTTCCACCATTGTTCATCTTTCAGCTACTTAAAGAGTTTATTAAAGTGGAGGTGGTAGGGCATGGGGTTTTGAACAAAACTCCAAGACAAGCTATAAGTGAAATAAATTCCAGTCTGATGGAAGAAAAATTAAACAGGAAAGAGGAAAGTAGAGAAAATAAGCCAGAACAAAGCTTATCATTCCCATCATTTGTTAACATGAACTCTAGCCCTACTCAAGTGACATATTAAATGACGATAGGTCAAAATACTCCTCATCTAAAATATATATGTATAAATAAACATTTAAAAAACTAAAACATTTTATTGGTTCTTTGTTTTCTAGACAGTCTCTAGGAAGAACAAAACTATATTACCACCCAAGAATGATACTTTTGGTTAAAAAGAAAATACCAACACTTGTGAGAAGATAACAGACTACGGGGAGGGGAGATGGAGTTTGCATATATAAAGGACACATACTCGGAGGCATGACTTTGGAAAATTCCCAGAGCTCACTGCATCTCAGCTGGGAGGAGATTCTGCACTGAGGATGTTCGTACATGTGACAATGATGCTAGACATCAATGCCTACAATGCTAAGTCTAAAGGAGGGGCATCAGTCCACAGTGGATTCCGTGCAACTTTCAAGCGACTGTGATCTGGATACAGGGGTGGCATTGTAATGCAGAGGGGAAAAAGCACAGGTTGTTTTCTAGTGAATAAATAAACTCCAATATGGCTGCTGCTGTGGACTGAAAGAGGTGGCCCAATGCTTAGGGCCTGTCTCTGTGTGTGTAGCATTTTCTCTGCAGATTGGGTGGGGACACGCTAAGGGAGGGGGAGGGAAGGTAATGGAAGGGAAGGGAAGGGAATTCTCTGCAGATTGGGTGGGGACACGCTAAGGGAGGTGGAAGAAAAGCAAGAGAAAGAGAGAAGGCACTGACCCAATTGAAAATGCCTGCATATATCAGTGTGAATTTTTAAGGACAGTTCAGTGGCCACCTTGACCCAAATGTAAAAGTTTACATTTGAGATTCTTTGGTGGTAGTGAAAGCAAACACAAAATTTCAAATGGAGAAATTACATACTATATTTGCCAGTGTAGCTATCATGGCACAGGCCTGGAACTCTCCTACCACCACAGTGACTTTTTACAATGACAATGATCCCAGTGTATACGAAAGCAGTGTTAGCATTTGGTAGCTTTCAAAGCTACACCTTGTGTAGAGGCATTTACAGTAAGAGCTGATCAATTAATATAAGAGGAAGCTGTGGCTTGCAGGGCTTCCAGAATTGCAGCTCTGTTTAACTGAAATCTAGCCATGATTCAGAGCTTTTTTCTGCCAAAGACTTCTATGACATACAAGTGAGTAAAATGGATTGTTTTGGAATGGCAACAAAATGCTTCTGTTCCCCACCCCACAACCCTATGGGCCAGGGGATCATAACATACATGATGTCAGATGACCACAAAAAGCTGGCCTTATACAGAGTCCCAATAAATTAACAAAAGATCATAAAAGAACCTTTCCCCCAAACATTTTCATGTAAACTAAATCCAAACAAAATTTAAAATCTGAACACACTTTCAAGGAGAAGGGATTCTACCCATCACTCTCTCTTGAAGTTTTTATTAAATACATTTCTGTGTCTTAGAAAAATAAAAAGAATGGCCAACTTATTGAACCAAAATTATCTCACAGATTTAAAAGCATGCCCAGCAAGCACAGCCCTGTAAGACTACATTAACGTCAAATCAAAGCAATTTGGTTACTAAAATCAACCTGGTTTGAAGTTCACAGTTGATTACTTACTACAAAGTTTATTCATTCCTTTCTTTCCTTTTTTTTTTTTTTTTTTTTTTTTTTTTTTTTTTTTTTTTGTTTTGCTTTTTTTTTTTTTTTTCCATATAAAAATAACATATTGCAACTCAAAGTGCATCTTTTAAAATAAACCATCAACTATCTTTATCAAATAAAATATTTACACCATTTGGTTTCTAGTGAGGAAAGCTCTTTCAGGCTATCACCATGGGGACATCATCTGAAAATCCAGTTATCATAGGAGCATCTTCATCATCTTCCCCTAGAAACAAAAAGACCAGCCTTCATGAGTTCCGGCAACATTTCCCCTCACCCTAGCCCCACAGTTCTACCCGTCTCCCATTCCTGTCACAACTCCCAGTTAAACCCTACCACAGTCAGCCAGGCACAGCAACCAGACCTGAAAGTCAGCTCAGCTTCCTGTGCCACTCTTGGGCCACCTTCTGGCCATCAACAGGTAACCAAACTGATTGTAAAGGTAGCTTAAACTTTGTTAAATCAAGCAAATACAACTTGCAGGAAGAAGGATCTCATTACCTACCCAGAAGTCAAATGGGTGATTTGGGTTCCCCAATTTGAGTTATCCACACCCTACAAGAGTGTAATGAACTTTATTGTTTCCTTTCTCTTTTGGATTTGACCTTAAACTGCTTTGAGGAAAAGGATCTTGGAGGGGTTTAAGAATTTGGGGGACATCTTCCCAGACTAATCTATGTCCTTTGAGACCCTTGTATAATCCTGTGGAACTGCTGATCTGCATTCAGTGATCAGTGCAGAGCGCTGCAGCAGGTCAACTCTTCTGTCCCCAACAGCAGGAAGCAAAGCCACCACCCCATTCATGTGAGGCAATCCAAGTACTCAGTGATCAGACAAGAAAAGAAATTAAGAAAAAGTAGGGCCAATATCACATGAGCAGTAAGCAGGAATACATAAATGTCTTCATAAACAAGGGAAATACTAACTATAACTACTGCACAGAAAAAAGTAAACAACAAACCCACACTCAGCAGTGTGAGTTTAGGGACACCTTTAACAGTCCCATTTCATTATATTCTGCGGTCTACTCGCTCTCTTAGTGTTTAGGAACTTCAGTGTGCAAAGGTTTCTAAAAGGGATAAAAAGATTTCCTTCTTTTTTCCACACTATGTGTTATCAACACATAAAGTCAGATTGGCTGCTGGGACTGCACTAGCAAATGGAAAGAGAGAGAGCCAGATGGAAGGGTCTCTTCCCATAGAAGCGGCTGAGGGAAGCAGCATTTTTTATCTCGACTAGGATCTTCCGGGATGTCAGCCCTCCAGGTCTGTGGAAGGTGAGAGACAATGGTCAGGGGGAACATCGCTGAGGATTTTCTGCTCATTTGGGAGTCTCCAAAACTCAGGGCCTATCTGTCTTGCCTGTACGAGACAAACTCCTAGCAGGTCTTCCTTGCTTCTGGCCCAAACCACACTATGGAAGTAAACGTCATATTTTCATTCAGGCAAGTTAAAAGCCAGCTGGTTTCTTCTTATGTGGGGGACTTACTAGTTAATAAATATCTTCTCTCATGTCAAAAGATAAGCTGAAGGCAAAGTGTCCCGAACCGGGTCACTGCTTTGTTGGGGTCCACCCTGAGAGGAAGAACCAGCCTCCCCTGCCCACTTACCCAGGTCATCCCCTGAAGAGAAGATGGCTGAGCCCAGCCTAGAGCTGTAGTGGCTGTTGGCAAAAGCAGTAAAGCTGCTCTGCAGCCTCCGATGCTTGGTGTATAGGATGGCGAACCCGACCCCCAGGCTTAGCAGTATCAGGAACAAGATGGGAACCACCACTGCAGCGACATCAGTGGACCTGGAAGCCTGGACTGCTGCTGCGTCTCCACCTGCCGAGGCAAGATCCCCACCAGTGAGCCTCCTACATGAAGGCAGAAGAATGGCCCAGGCAGTCCTCAAGGCCCCACCCACCAAAAAAAGCTAGGAGTTAGAAACAGCTCCCCAAACTGCATGATGCCTGAATGTTTCCTGACTGCTTACTATGAGCTGATAGACCATCGGCCTTGTGCATGCAAATACGGTAATTACTTTAGACTCCTAATCACTGCCTTGTTGGTTATTTAGATAATCTCTTGGAAGGGAGACCTTTGTTGGGGTATCAACATTGATTTCATTAGCATTATTACTTAAGACCACTTGCTTGCCTTACATAAGAGGATGTGAAATCAGACCCCTAATTAACAAGACTGCAATTATTTCCCCCTACTTGGCACCAAAGTCACTCTGAACTGCAATTACCTGAAGCTCCATTAAGTGATACAAACGAGATTCCTTTACTACAATACTGACTTAACAGCTCATGAAGTTTTACGAGGTTTTTTACTTAAGTGAAAAAGAGAGAAACGACCTTTCCATATACATTTAACATTTTTTAAAGCTCTCTGAAAAGCCATTTAGGTGTTTATAACCTAACAACGATGGGGCCTTCCTATGGCTTTAAACAAATGCAGGTTTTGTAATGATTTGCTAACTAATTTCTACCCCCTGGCTCTCTTGGGTCAAGTGATCCTCCACTTGGGCCCTGTTGGGGTGAGGGCTATCACTTTGAAAGGGGGTAGACTTCTCATATTCAAAATCCTGAGCAAGTTTGAACTTCAGGAAGAACAGTAGAGCTTAGGAATCAGGTTGTTACAAAAGTAGCAGTGTGGATTTTCCGCCATCTAAGTCTCTATAGGCTTAGGCTTCTTCCCTGGTGGAGCGGCAGGTGGTAGGGGGCAGGGGGCAGGGGGAAGAGTGCAGAAGCAAGGCTTGTTCCTTTTGCAGAAAGCAACACAGCTACCCAGGGATTCATTCTAGTGGGGAATTCACAAAGATGAGCCAGTTCTGGTGAGCCTAATCCAGCAGTTCAATACTCATCTGATTTTACATTAATTATTTCCTGCTCAGAAAAAACTCTGGCAAAATCTTGTTTAATGGTTCCAGCCTATCCCAAGTGTGTAGCAGTAAGTGAAAGTGAAGTATGCACTTGGCTGGAGCACGGTGGAGGCGGCAGGAAAGAGTGAGCTCCTGACAAGCTTGGTTTCCTAAAGGCAGCAGGTTGGGGTCCTCACAGCAGGTTTTTCACTAAGAATATTTTACAGGTTGCTGACTTGCTTTGCTTAAAACAGAATGCAATGAAGGAAGGACCCACTAAGTTAATAAAAGTTGTGCTTTTTAGTTTTTTGGACCTTTCTGAAGCCTCCAAAGGGAAGTGGAAGACGGTAAGTATTCTTAACGTCTTTTGGAGGGATAAGTATTCTACAAGATCACACCCCAGGAAGCATTATGTGATGGAACATTTAACAACTCTAATGCAAGACTTTGGCTTGAGCCTTTCTGACTAGGAGTAAATGTAATTAACAAGACCAGTGGCAAAACATCTGTGGAAACCCTGGCCAATCTACTGCAACATAAGCAGACTTTCTATGTAAAGCACTAGTGTGGCCCAACACTGATACCTAGGGTTGTCCTAGGACAGGGATCTCAGGCAAAATTCAGGTTTTGATCCGAGGCTGTCGGCTAAGTAGATGGGAAAGGGCTCTACAGTTAGCCTCTCCACGGTGAGGAGACATGCTACAGGGGCTCTGAGAACTCCCCTAAAAGCAAACAACAAAACTCTTGTTCGCAACGTTTCTCACATAAAACCTCCTTTTTAAACAGAATCTTTCCTCTCTTGTACTTTATATTCAGAATATGATCACTGGGTAAACTTGGCTCATGCCATCCCTGGCTCAAAAAGTACTTATTTGTTCGCAAAATCAATACCTGACACAACCGATACACAGGTGCTTTTCTTCTGAGTAAAGAGCAGATTTTAAAATATGTCTTAGAAAGACACACGCTCATCAGACCATACTATATCCCTGCTATTTCCCCAGATGGGAGACAGAAGCTGGCAGCCACAGTGACTTACCAGACCCCAGCTCGTCATACAGCAGGACAGCAGGCTCCCCACAGATCTGGCTGCCAAAGAGGCATCGTGCTTGGACGGTGAAAGTATAATTATGGCCCATCTTCAGGTTGGAAATTTTAAAGAAATTGTCAGTAGTATTCCCAAGGTAAGCTGTGATATTCATGGCACTATCAAACATGTGTATCTCATAGCCCTGAAACAAACACACAGGAGATTGCTCAGGAAGTCTGTTACCAGTTCCAAGCATATGTGAGCTTCTTCCTGCAGGGTTCTATAGAGACGAAAGCCCTTTGGGTTTCTCATTAGTTCTTTTTATATGACCACTGTGATACCTGATTCAGACCTAGGAAAGAGAGATTTTTTTCTCACCCCAGTGTCTCAAAACTATTGTACCTACTTAGCAGCTGCAGTGTGGAAGGGAAGTGTAGCCTCAAGGAAAGCTAATTCAACAAATACATGCTGAAAGTCTCACTCTGCTGTCCCTCCTCTCAAGCAGTATTAAATGCTGCAAAGAACCTGACCATCTCAGCAACAGCCTTCAGTGTAGAATTTGACTAATAATAAATCGTGGCCATGGTGGTCTCTGGCAATATGTTAAGATGCAGGAACTCACAATTAGGGAAGATAGAAAGTTTCTCCTTAGAAGAGTATGTGAGAAAGCTACTGTCACCTTGCTTCCTGTCTCCTTGCTTTCTAGCTCTTCCTAAGCTGATCCCAAGCCCAAGCATCTTGGCCTTGATGTAAGAGGGACTTTAACAGGCTCAGGAACCTACTCACCAAAGGACAGGCTGAAATAACATTCCCAGACTCAGAGAGAGTCCTCAACCATATTGAAAGAAGTCATCCGGTAACAGCCTTGACCCAGGCTGCTGGCTGAAATTAGATGACCAGTGGTTTTCCTTGCTTATCTCCAAGAATGCTAGTGTCAAAACTACCACCACTAAGCTCAGGCACCACCCTCTCCCCCCAAAAAAGACTGCGTTCCTTGTGTCTATTCACATACCAGGCTCACTCATCCACATAAGCGTGGTGTCTTGGTCCCCACCCCCCTGGCCTCTCTATTTTTTGAACCCCAAGCCAGGTGGAAAGAAGAGCATGCTGTGTCTATGCCAGAAGTCTCCATTAGGAACAGAACGCTGACCCATAACCCCAACCTCAAAGCTGAACTTCCAACACCTAAGAAGGATCTCCTCATGGCAACTGGCTGCTAGACTGGGCTTCATGACACCTGCCTGGCATCCTACTCCTGTATTTTGCTTTTCACAAACTAGCAAGTATTATTTACTATCTAATAGATATTCAGTGTAGAACATTGGCAAACTACAAAAAGATACGAGAAAGCTAAATTAAATTACATACCCAAACATCAACCACCTATATTTCAATAGTTCTCTCTTGTACATTTATAGTGTTTCCTCTTTTTTATTGTCATAATTGGTGTATATGAATCATACATGTGCATTGTTTCTTTGGAAGAAAATCTTAGAGTTGCTGGATTAAGAAGTATAAACATGTTCATGGTGTCTGACTCATACAAACCACAGAGCCTCTCCAAAGATTGAGCCGATTTATATTCTGAGATACTAAGGCCCCCAACTGTTGCTCACGCTGGTAAAAGTCCTCCTCAGATCTTTGCCAAGGTAATGCACAAGTGCCACGTTTTTGCTGTCTGGATTCCTAGTAAGGTCGAACCTTTCCCCTTTAGCTCACCACTGCTGAAGATTTTTACTACGTCACTTGTATGTTTTTCAAAATTGGAATATTCCTGCTTTGAATTGACTTGAATGCATTCTCTTTATGTAAGGATATTAACCATTTAGATGTCAAAATTGTGAGAGTTGTATAAATTCTCCAGAATGATAGAGCTTTTCAAATCTGAACTGAGCTTTGCTTCCAGAATCACCCTGTGTCTGTGGAGGACCCTGGAGCTCTTTGCCACAGAGCCACAACAGAGTCGTCATGTCCTAACTGAGCTCATGCTCTATTGTCAGTGGGACAAACCCAGCTCAATTCAAGAATGTGCTCATCACTGGGTGGCAAAACCCACCTAGGTCTCACTGTCCCTTCCCCAGCTCCCTTGTGAATGTAGTGTTGGCTTACAATAGCAAAACGACAAAAAAAAAAGGTGTTCAGTAGGCAGCAGAGAATCTTCAAATTCTTCTGCTCTCCCTAAAAGTTTCTCTAGGCAGAAAGGGATGAGATGCCAAGATGAGCACGTAGCTCAGCTCCCCGGCAGTGTGGGCAGTCCAAGGGCCTGGGAAAGGTGAGATCTTGGTTGGGATGCTAAGCCCCTACCCAGCTCCAGGAAGCACAGGGAGTATCCTAGCCTGTGTCCCTTTCTGCCAGGGAAGAAAGTGTAGGACTAAAAAGTGCTTAGTGCAGAGATTCTCATCTTTAATGGGCAGTATAAACATTTCACTAATTAGAAATCCCACAGAAAGTAGTCCTTTAATTCTCAAGTTCACTTCCATGCCCTACTCTTTTTTCTTACCCTATCTTCACTAGCGTGCTGTTAATGAGCTCATCTCTGAAATAGCATTTTGATTAGATTTCCAGAGTTACTGACAATGGAGGAACTTACCCTGCTTTCATTAAAATGCTTTTCCTTTAAAGCAAGACTTTTCCAAAATAGAAGAACATGGTCATTTTCCGTTATGATTTTTAAGGCATCAGGTGCTGATAATGAAACTGAAAATCAAAGATGAGACAGGATACAGTCAGTGGATAATGTGAAGATTAGGGTGGACTCTAGCACACAGTAGATACCTTTCAACTGGCATCCATTTGTTCTTTTATAACAACTTTAGCCAAGAAATGTGGCCAGTATCTAATTTAATAATAGCCCTTGGACCCAAAGATGGACAAAAACAGATGAGGCGAGAAGATGGTGAGAAAGGGATGGGATACAGTAAGGGGTCTTCTTGAACCCAGGACATTGAAATAATACCAAAGTGTATGACCGGGGCCTACTGCGCTCACTACCTGCCTAACAAGGGTGGAAACTCCTCATACTGTCTGCTGCTGTCCAAGTAACTGAGCTTCTTTCTCACTTTTTGAACTTGACACTGAATACCCTTTAATCTACAGCCCAATTATTGGTCTCCCTCCATTTCTGCATGTCAGATTGCTGCAATGAACCCCTGTGCCTTAGTCCAGGTCTTCAGATGCCATGCTTTGCCTTGGTGGTAAATATTACTTATATTTTCTAACTCTTGGGCAGTCCTACTGTGTTCCCCCTGGTGATGTCAAAACAAGCTAGGAAAAAGCATAAAAAAGAGAGCCACTCCCCAGCCCACTGTGTCTTGGCCACTTCATTGCAGCCTGGATATGGGATCCCTGCTCCATGTACTGCTCTGGCACAGCATGGAGACACAAGAGCAACATTGGTAGATCCCAGGCAAGTCCTGATGAAATGTCACTGTGTAAAAGCCCAGCAGCACTGTAAGTGCTCAGCTGTGCAAGAAGGACTCTGTGCTCTCCCCTGCTTACCTGTAGTAATTTTTATGCTGGAATCTTTGCTCATGTTCCCTAGCTGGACAATGACATGATATTTCCCTCCAGGTTCCAATTTGCTAATGGTATACTCCACAGTACTGTTGTGGGATTTTAGTTTGTAGCTCCTGTCGGTCTTTCTAATCAGATCTTTAACTGCAATTGCATAGAACTGGAACAACAACAACAAAAAGAATATCTGAGTGGTAATCAGAAACTCGGCATTCTTTACTCTTCATAGTTCAAAGGCAGACAGGGTAACACAAATACAGTCCTCCCTGTATATCTATAGGAGACTGATTCCAGGAGCCCTGTGGATACCACATGCCTTACATAAAATGTAATAGTACCAGATAATGCACACATATCCTCCTGTATACTTTAAATCATCTTTATATTAATGAGAACAGCTAATATAATGTAAATGTTATGTAAATAGTTGTAATATTGTATTCTTTAGGGAATAATGATAAGAAAAATATCAGTACATGGTCAATGTAGACACAATCCCTTTTTCAAACATTTTCAGTCTGCAACTGATTGGATCCACAGATACAAAGAACCAACAATATGACAGTGGCTGAGATCCTCAAGCACCATATTCAGCAATATTCCAAAATCTGATTCTGTTCTTCATCAAGCCTTTGTAATAAGCAGGGCCAGCCTTATAACAAGCATGCACTGAGAGAATTACACACAGAATTATCAACTGGACCCAAAAGAGAGAGAGAAAATAAACAAAACTCTAAGGTAAGCCACATTTACTGTGGCTAGGTTGGAGCAAGCAAGGACATCCACGTCTAGTAGCCAACTTCTGTATCACCACCACTGCAGCAGTTTTACGGATACTGTCAGAAGAGAGACGATGAACAAAAATGTTCGATTCTAACTCTAGAGGACAAACACTATACTGAATGTCTGTAGGGTGCTTCTTACATAGTATATGGGTGAGGAAAGTATAGGTACATGGGATAAGCACAAGAAACTCATCATCAGGAAGAAGCTTAGAGTTAAGAGGAGACTTCACAACCAAGTATTTTATACTAAGCACCCCTAGGATGGAGGGGAGAAGAGAGGGAGCAGAGGTAAAAGAAGCCCAGAGTAAGGAAAACTGAAAGCTATTTTCTAAGATCAATGCCTCTTCTTTTACCAGGGGCCAGCAAACATTCTGAAAAGGTTCAAACAGTAAACTTTTTAGGCTTTCAGGACCAGATGGTCCCCACCACAACTATTTAACTCTGCTGTTTGTAGCATATATGCAGATACAGATCATACATAAACAAGTGGGCGTGGCTTGGTTTGGATAAATCTTTATTTAAAAGAAAACAACAGATGGACCAGATTTGGCCTGCAGACATTTGTTGGATGACCTCTGTTTCAGAAAGTTAAGGTGTAGGATGCGAGCATTAAAGAAGGAGGGATAAACCAATATGACAGCTGGAAATAATGAAAGGGTACCATCTACAAAAAAGGGTATGTATAAAGAGCCTATATTTTCCTGGGTAGATACGGGAGAGACATGCTAAGCTGCACTATTAGGCCTGTATTTCCTGCTCCATTATTGTACCACCTTCCACGCCACGCCACCCGAGGCATGCTAAGAATAAGCAAGGCTGCCGGGATGTCCAGCCTGCTCACCAGATCCTGGTCAGGAGAGTCATATGGAGATTCCCACTTGATGACAGCTGAGGTTTTGCCTGTATGAACCGCATGCAGGTGACGGGGTGGAAGCCTGCTGTCTGGGATCATCTTCACGACAACATAGTCAGAGGATGGTCCTTGGTAAGGAACCAACACCCGGACCTAGGGCCCAAGCACATGCACGGGGAGATAAAAACACAGAGTCTTGCACAATCTTCAACAAACTGTTTTTTAACAAAATAGTGACCCATACATGCAATTACAGTTCAATTAGTATCAAAGATATAAAATAGTTCCCTCCACCCCAGACCACTGCTAACAGATTTTTGCACTTCCTTCCAGAAATGTCCTAGGTAGAGGCTGGGGATATAGCTCATTATTATAGCTCATATTACCTTACATGTGCAAAGCCGTAGGTTCAATTGCTAGTGCTACCAAAAAGAAGTCCCCCAAATGCCCAGGGCATATAAAAGAACAGATATATTTAGGGATATAAATTCACCCTTGTATATAATGGTGTATGCATATATGTGTAGCCTATCTTTCTTAATTTTACACAATGAAAACACTACACATATTATGCTCTTCATGTCTTATACTTAATAATACAGTTTAAAGATTTTTGCACTTCAATATATGTAAAGTAATATTTCTTTTGGACAGTTGCCCTGTTTCCATTTCATGAATATGCCATAATATTTTTAATCATTCCTTTTTTGAGGGACACTTAAGTTATTTCAAATCTTTTGCTATCACAAGTAATAATGGACCACACATCTTTTTTCATATATCTCGGTAAACATGTAAAAATACATAGTGGAACATGATAAACACTTTTGATTTGTCTGTATCTATCATCAATCCTCCATGGTGGACTGCAGTTATCTAAGTGCCTGTGATGCCTATGATAAAAACAAAGAGATATCTTCCCACACACACTGATCACTGGAATTCAAGTGTCCAATTCCCCAAATCCAAGATTGAGCTCAGGAGCCCAAAACTTAAGACAGCCCTTAAAAAGTAGAAACTCATTCTGCTTCGCTGGTACAGAAACTTACCAGAAACAAATACTGCTCATCTTTACTGACAATGACTGTCTTATTGTGAAGTGAAGTAGTTATACTCTTTGGGCTCCGATAGAGGTCAAGAAAGGACGTGGCATAGAAAATACCATAAACCTTGTAAAAGAAAAGAACGGAAAAGGATATCAACATATGGGCCAGTGACCTCATTTTCTGGAAACCCCTAATTTAAGTGAATGTTGCTGCCAGAAGCCATCCACACAGTCTCCTAGAAACATTACACTATGTCCTCATCCACTTTATTCACCAGACCTACCACCATACAACTTCTGGTTCTTCAGAGTTAAAATAACCTTAAAGGGTAAATGTTTTAAAGATACTCGGGACATCATAGCAGTCACTATAGTGCAACTAAAGACATGCATAAAAGAGGACTTTAAGAGCTCTTTAAGAAAGTGGCAAGAATGCCAGGCCTGAGACATCAGGTGCCTCTAGAAGGTCATTCAGAACTGACAGAAGGTGGCTTGAGTTTGGGGTGAGAAAGGAAGACACAGCAACAGAGAACAGAGCCCTGTAGCTGCCCTGTGGAGGGTTGATTCTATGTGCACTCTGGGACAGTCAATCTGACCCACTCACCACATTCCTGGGGCCAGTCCAGGTGCATTCCACTGCAGTCTGATTGATAGCCTTGGCTTTGAGGCTAGGAGCTGGTGGGCGAACTCCTCGGGTCATTACATGCTCAAATGCCAGGGGACTATCCCCCAAATCAGTCTTGGCCCAGGCAGAAATCTCATAGGACGTATGAGCTGTCAGATTGTCAACTGTGAAAACAAAGACAGAGGACACCAGGAGGAAGCTGGGGTTGTTAATGAAGAATTTGGGTCACTACAGACACCCTATCTGAAAAAAAGTAGTCACTCAATCTGAGTCCTAAATGCTATAGGACTTCATCAATTTACAGGTTTATCTAACATTTATTTACTGATGACTTAATACATGCGGCACGTCTCATGGGCACTGGGTCATTTCCTTTAAAGCTGACTATCTGGGAATAAAATTTGTCCAGTCCTCCTGCGTAGCCATTTGACCTTGTGTTACATAAGCCTTGAAAAAAAATCACACTCTTCTGCCCAGCCATCCCATGAAATCAGAGAGGGACTCAAAAATCTGTAGATAAAGATTTGCATCTCAGTGTCTTTTTCAGTAGAAGAACACTGTCATGACCCGGCTGTCTGGCAACAGAGTAACAATTGAACCACGTCTGTTCCACTAACTACTCTGCAGCCACTAAGATTTGCTCCAAAGAATATTCAGTGACATGGGAAAATTCTCACAATTTTATAGTAAATGAAAATGCAAGGATACAACACTATATATACACTATTCTCATTTGGTTAAAAAAAAATATATATATATAAGATTAATGCACAGAAAAATACCTGGGAGATATCTGAAATGCAAAAGGGAAATTATAGAAAATTTTAATATTCACTATTTTTTTGTCATCTGAAATATGCATATGTTCCTTTTCTAACTGAGGAATTAAAACTAAAGGAAGCATGAACAGAGTGGAGGATACGCTAAAGGACAACCTTGGGAATGCAGGATTAGGGAAGGGTCTCAAGCTGTGTTTTGTGGTTGCATATCCTTGGTAAAGTATTTACATGCTCTGTTTCCTTGTTTGTAAGATGGAGAGAAATAACAGCACTTACAACAGCTGGCTGTTGCAGGGATTAAAAAGGAAAGTGCTCATAAAGTGCCTGGCATGATGCCTAACACAAAGCTAGTCCTTCACAGGCCTCAGGCAACAGCTAGTAAGCCTCTGCCAATTGTACTAGTACAACAGTGAGGCAATGGGATCACGGGTTTTGGAACTGGAAGACATGTTCCAGTTGTGGTTCTGTCACCTTCAGAGGGAACCACCTATTCTCCAAACCTGGGCTTTGCCGCTGTTGGATAAGCAGAGCTCATGGAATTACAGTATTATTGGGGTTATGTAGAACAATAATCTCAACAACCCAGAATATCTAGATAAATGACTGCTCATAGCAGGTACTCAATGTTCTCCCTTGCATGACCTCAAAAGGCAAATTACTGAATCAAGAAGACTTTCCCTTTCATCATCATCATCACCATCATCATAGAAGATTTGTGGGTTCTGTTTCATAAGGAACAAATGAAAATATGATGGAAATAATTTGCAAACAGGCTGGAAGAAGTGGAAAGCAGGAAGTTCCCATGTCATTCTCAATGTTTAGAGGCAGCTTTGGGGACTGAAAGTTTTCTTTTAGAAATACATTAAACTCTGTGCATTAGCCTACTTTCAGACAGAAGGTTTAAGGCTCTTCTCTTACACAGATAAGAGAAGGGTTGGGCTGCTTCCTTCCTCATTTGCTTGGTCCATTCATCCATCAATAAACACTGAAGACCAACTATGTACTGGGCTTTGTGCTACTTATTAGGATGAGGAAATGAACCAAGTTAGAAAAGAACCATGATTAAATCTAGGAACATCTTCTTCTGGAGCACAATAATGATCGGGAAGAGTTAAACTGGTCTCTTTCCAGTTCTTCCTCCTGTGCGACCTCCAACTTCCATGAAGGCAGGAGTGGGCTTACAAAGATGGCAAGTGTAGGTTTCCCTACCAAGCCAGGAGAACACTGATAGTGTCCTCAATGGACAAGAGCCTATCTGCCTCCAGAGAAGATGCTCTCTCTCCCAGACACCTCTCTACTGCCAGTAGGGCACTGATCCAGCCTTACTCCTCCCCCTCACACCAACTAGCCTCAGGTGTTACCTTTGTGTGACACTGTGCTCCCTCGGAAGCTCAAGGTTCTCTTCTCTTGTTTGTGGGTGTCAAATGCCCAGAACAGATTCACCATATAGCCATTCACCTGCCAAGAACCAGGGAGCACATGACGGAACAGCTAACACAGTCAGAGGGCATGCCAAATACAACAGGCAGGATCAAGAGTACATCTCCTTTCTGTTTCTTTAGGAATCTCAGTTCTCACACTAGACAGACAGTTCTTCTGATTTTTAAGCAAGTTCTATTTATGCTATTATTAAATAGTATTTAGCTAGCGGGCAGAGATATAGCTCAATGGTAGAGCACTTTTCTAGCATGTGTGAGGCCCTGGATTTGATCCCCAGGACCACAAATAGGAATGATACTCAGTTATGTTCTGTGTACTTCTAAAAGTAAACATGAGATCATTTATAATATAAAATATATCCAAAGAAACCAAAAAATTAATACAGCATAAAATGACAAGAACCACGAAGTACAGGTAGAAACAGGAAAAGTTAAAAAGATAATCAGGTTGTGGTAATTAAGGACAGCTCAGGCTGTCCTTGCAGTCAAGGTCAAGAGGTCAGTGACAACGTGAGGTGGTGAAATCTCACTATCTAACATGAGTAAATACATCTATGCACCAGGAAAGACTGCCTTCATTAAGTCCCCTGATCAAAAGATCTTTAAATGTGGGACCAAAAAAAAATGTTTTCAAGACCAAAGACATGGACCATACGAAGGCCATCCCTTGTATCAGCCCTCAATGAAGTCAGGGACATAATACTAAATTGTAGTTAAAAGTAGACGGCACACGGATTCTAAAGGCTTCTTGTTCTATCACAACCTCACAGATAGGGAGGAGGAACAGACTAGAAAGATCATTAAAGAAAGTGGATCTCAACCGCAGTACCTCAGGGAAACAGCTAACTATGTTGGAATGTGAGCGTAGATGGACCAAGCTCAACATCCAGTGGTAGTGGAAAGGAATGAGTGGGAAGCTACATGGAGATACACGATGAATGTGTTTCTAACACATCCACTCTCACAAAAGGGTTGCTCTTCCACTGTGAGAACCTCTGTATTAGCACTTAGCACCAGGAAATCCAATAAAGCTGAAAATTACAGGGCATACATATTCTGTTAACACCAACTCTTTATTTGCACTGTAGCTGTGAACCATTTAATTATATGGTTAAAGAAAAAAGGCACCAGGCTGAGGCAAAGTAATTACATATAGAGCCTCAAGTTGTTCTTCATGGGGGACGGAACAAACCCAGTTCTGGTATTTTAGCTTCTCTAGATCAAGACATTCATTTTTTCCTAATCTTACTATACAAAGTCCTATCGGTTCCCATATAAAACAAAGCTCCACCCAACTGCTAGTGTGAAATTACATTACCTTGATATCACCGTCCATGGTTAGGGTGAGGCTTAGAGAATTTTCATCATAGCTGTCAATGTGGATATCTGGTGGTGGAATCACTAAAAACAAACAAGCAATTCAAACAGAAAAACCACGGGTTGAAAAGTGAGGAAGGCAGGACTTCACAGATTTCAACTCTACAGACAAAGCCATCTTTCAGCTGGGAAAGAAAAGGCATTTCTTTGGCTGTCTTTAATTTCTGTCTCTTTTACTCTTTTCCTGCAGCTTGCTTGGTGAACACAGAGCAATTCTGGCTCAGCCAGCCAGCCTGGCAATTAGGTAAGGCAGAAAAGTTTCATTAAATAAATGATCCCAAATAACCCAGCTTCAGTGTGGTTCTCAAAGGTACAGAGATCCCTGGAAACATCAATTTTTTTTATACTAACAAAGTCCCAGTGTCTCAAGATCTTTTAATAGGATGACAATAAGATGAATCATAAATTATAAATGTATGCATGGCATAATTGGGAAAGCACAGCCTCTGGAGGCAGGCAAACTTGAGTTCAAATTCTTGACACTTAACATCCATGTAACCTGGGGCAACTTACTTATCTTCTGTGAGCTTAGAGATATGTATCTCTTCACTTCAGAGAGCTAGGAAGGTTAATTAAAACAATGTATGTATACTGCCTAAAATTCAACTAATGTTTTCCATTCTTTCCATTTCCACAAAAGTCTAATTTATAACAGATTCAAGAGCAAGTGTGCTTTCTGAAGGATCAGAGCTCGAGCTGAGAGTCAACGGGGCAAGGAGAGAATGTGGCCAAGAGAAGAGACCCCTGTCAGTTCATGGCTGTCATTTGAACTTGTGCCTATAAGATGATAGTGCCCAGCATAGCATAACTGAAATGGGCTCTGTGGGACACATATGATCAGAAGACACCTTTCAAGGGACAACTGGTTTACTAGACTCTCCATGTATATGCCTCTTATACAGGAAGGGCAAGAGAAACTCAAGATCTGGTGGCATAGGAGGGGGGTCAAAACATAGAGACGCCCCGTCAGATGGTCAAGCATGTAATAAAACTAGGCTTGAGAAAAACCCAAGAATCAGAAGAAAAGCCACGAGAAGCTTTAGACAGCTAACTCAGAGCCACTCGGCGGGGTGCTACAGTAAAGCCAACTTGAGTTATGATCACGGTGACCAAGGGGAGGCCACAGTTCTTTCCACAACCAGTTCATTCACCTACAAAATTAGATGAAAATATTTATCTCATAAATTCACATAGGACAAGTAATGTGGTATTTAGCACATAAGAAGTACTCCGTAATTGTTGGCTTTTCTCATTGCTCTTCATTCACTACATTCACTAATGAACCTTGTGCTTCTAGCTGACACTGCTTCTGGATCTATCCTTCATTTCCTCATGTGACTATGATCTCAGGTCACAGATATCTCAGGGAAATACTTTTGGACACAGCACACAGTTGCCTTTTGCACACACCCTAATCCAAACACATAGGGAGGAGCTCAGATATAGCAAAATCAGAGAAGCTGAAGAAAAGCCCAACCACCCACTGAGATTTTCAAAGGCATGTGTGACTTGTTCTTTCAGAACTCCAACTGCATGTTGACCTTCAAAAGTCACCTCTTTGTGTATGAATGGCCAGTATGCTTTGACCTACATATTGTAGAAAGAAATGAAAATACAATAAAAACTCTAGGGGAGAATGAATTCAACACACTTCCTTTATCACCTACAAATATTCTGTCTGCTGACTGATTGGTGCCACTAAGTCTGGTAGCCTGCTGCCCTGATCTCCACATTCTAGATTATAAAAGGAGCAGGGAATAACTCTCAATGACTCGGTGTATAAGTCACAGGTTGAAGTTAAAGTAAACACCCAATCACATTCCATGCCGCTGTGTTCCTCTGCTTTTAATATCCTCAATCTAGAAATAAAAATCCCAGAGCCAAGATGAAGATGAAGAAAACCACTCAGGAAGACCGTTCGTGGTTCACCTGCCAACATGTGCCAGAATCCTTCATTTATTTGCTTCAATTCACTCATTCACCCACTATTTCTTCTGTTCCACTAGATACCAGTGATAGAGTGGAGAGAAATAGACCAGATCACAGCCCTCATGAGACACACATGCAAGATGACAAGCCAGCCACCCCAGCAAGCAGAGCAGTCCAGTGGGGTTTGGGTGTCTCAGCCCAGAGGGAAGCATGTAGCACAATGGTTAAGAGCACAGGCTTCATAGTCAGGTGTGTTGTGTTCTCATCCCAGCTTGGTCACTGACTGTGTAGCCTGGGACAAGTGACGTATCTCGCCTTATCTGACTTTGTAGTGTTCAAAAGATCAATCAGGTGAGCTGATGTAAATGAAGTAGTGTACACTACAGAGTGCCCAAAGACCAGTCCTACTATAGAAACCTCCACTGACACACAGTTTGTCGGTAGCACTGTGAGAAAGAAGTCTCAAGTGTCACCATGGAGCTTTCTCCAAACCACCACAAATGGACATGTACAAAGCCACCTTTATCTTTAGTGAGAAGTCGGACTCCTTCTGTTTTAGATGTTATATATGCTCACAAACGCATAGGCATAATGGCCTTTGGAAATTCCTTCAATTCTAGGAGGAAAAATATAATCTGCAGTCACCCACAAAGACTCTGCCTCTAAAACACCACAGAGATACCTAGAATTGTGCAGGTGTTAGGGAGAAGGAAGCTGTATGAGGTTTTCTCATCTATGCTTCTCCTTCCCAGTCATACTGAAAGTCATTTCCAAAGGGGTTTCTGTCTTCTCTAAATCTACAAATGCTGGAATCATTTACCTTTTCCTTTTATGGTGGTAATGGATTTAGAATCGCTCCAGTTTCCTATTCCACGACTAGTCACCGCAGCCACCTTTTCAAATCAGAGTGTGAATTAGTATGAAATAAAGGTAATACGCCACACAGCAAGAACTCTGAATGAGCTAAAGGGGTGAGATTTTGGCATTGAGGGTGAAAAATTATATACAGAGTGACCCAGAATATTCAGATTCAATATCTAGAAGCTGATAGAAGAGGGGTAAGAGACAAAGAGACAAACTTGGATAAAGGCAATTATGATAGTCCTAAGATTATAGAACCTCATTTGCTTGACATATGTCAAGGTTCTTTTAAAGGGCAGGGGTGTGTGTATTCACATACATATAACCTAGGTTCTATAGCCATATACATACATTAAGAGTATTGGGGAAATTATCAGAGTAAGTATATATATTTAATGGTCTCAATAAACATGTTTGGCCCAAATCTATCCGCTTTTCTCTAAAGATAACAGTATAATTTATAAGAACCTCACAAAATAAGTTTATAAATGCCAGTTATCATATTTCTGAATCACCCTGCAGCTAAAGATAAGCAGAAAAGAGGTAGGTGCAAAAGTATAGGTGCTAGAAAGCTAATAGGATATCTGGGTTACAAGCAGGTAAAGCCGCATTATCATAAAGTTTTGGTTATTGGAGGGAAGTCTGATTTCCCACTCAGCACAAAGAATCAAGCATTTTGCAGACTACTAATATGTATCTCTTAAAAGTAAGCACAGACTTCTTACAAAACAGGAATATGTCTTTAGTTTCTGAGACTGCCCACATGGCTAGAACAGGTGCAAACACTCACTCTGACAGTGTATAGCGTGTTGACCAATAAGTTCTTAATTTCTGTAGCATTACTAGCAGCCCTCTGGGATGCCCACACCTTGGAACCACTCCTGCTGTATTCTACCTAAAGTAAGAAGAAAAATATGAGTAAAAGGTAACCAGAGGTATGGAGCACACTGTTACCTTAAAAGAGGCCAGGGAAAAGAGGGGAAGGCAGGGTATGAAATGTTCTTATAGGTGAGTCATTATCCATAAAACTACACCAAATCAATCCCCGGCCATACACAACACCCAGAAATCTCAAGCTCTCTGATACTCCAACAACTGGAAGGTACTTACAATGTACTCACGAATGAGACCATGTGTGTGGATGGGAGGAGTCCAGTGTCCAATAATTACACCTTCCGCTTCCCTGTGGAGTGACAGCTGCAGATTTCGAGGGGCATCTGGCACTAGAAAAGAATCAATTCAGAAGTCAACTTACCCCTGGATGGAGACAATCTGATCTTATATACAGAAAAACCTAAGAACTAAGAAAAAAAAAAAAAACCTGTTAAAAGTCCTAACTGCATTTAGAAAAGTTGCAAGATACAAGACCAACATATGAAAATCAGTAGTGTTTCTATACACCGATAAAAGTCTATCTAAAAAAGAAAACAAGAAACCAGTAATACCATTTATAATAGGTACAAAATAACCTAGGAATGAATTTAACCAAGGCGGTGAAAGATCTCTACAATGAAAACTATAAAACACTGATGAAAGCAATTGAAGAATACAAAGACATTCCATATTCATGGATTAGAAGAATATTATTAAAATGTGGATACTACCTAAGGAAAACTACAAATACAGTGCAATCAGAAAACAAATCACATTCTTCATAGTATTTGTTTTAACTTCCTAAAATTTTTGTGGAATCATGAAAGACTCCAAATATCGAAAAAAAAAAAAAAAAAAAAAAAAAAAAAGCTGGAAAGCATCATACTACCTAACTTCAAACCGTACTGCAAAGCGGTAGTAACCAAAACAGTATGGTACTGTTATAAAAAAACACACACACACACACAGATAAATGGCAAAGAATAAAGAATACAAAAATAAATGTATCTATTTACACCAATTGACTTTTTTGGACAAAGGCACCAAGAACATGCACTGGAGAAAGAATATTTACCATAGTTCTTCTGTAAAAGGGGCTGGGAAAACTGAGAAGAATGAAGTGAAACTCCTATCTTTCACCATATACAAAAGCACCTCAAAATAGACCAAGACTTAAATGTAAAACCTGAAACTATGACACTAATAGAAGAATAAGGGAAATGCTTCAGGACATTGGTTTGAACAAAGACTTTACTGTGACAGACTATAAAATTACATAATATAATATATTACAGACCATAAAATCAAAAATTAACATATGAGCCTACTGCAAACCAAAACACTTCCACATAGCAAAAACAATTAGTAGTGAAGATACAGTCTACAGGATGAAAGAAAGTATTTGCAACCTATTCACTCAATGAAGAATTTATATTTAGAATATATAAGGAAATCAAACAATCAACTGTAACAAAAATCTGATTCAAAATGGGCAAATGATTGAAATAGACATTTCTCAAAAGAAGACATACAAACAGCCAAAAAGAATGAACAAGACATAAACATCATCAATCATCAGGGAAATGCAAATTAAAACTACAATGAGATATCATTTCATCCCAGTTAGAATAGCAATTATCAAAAAGACAAAAAATAACAAATTCAGAGAAAGGGGAATTCTACTAAACAGTTGGAGGAAATATAAATCAGCATAGCCATTAGGGAAAAGAGTACAGAAATTCCTCAAAACTCTACTAATAGAATTATCCCATGATCTTACAATTATACCACTTGGAGACATAGAAAAAATAACTAGAATAGGCAAATAGTCATACCTGTCAACTACATGAAAGGAGAAAGGAGAGAACTCTCTTGGACACATAAATTTGGTACATATCTTTAAAATCTAGTGACAAAACTACTGACGTGACTCATATTTTAATGATAGCAAGATAGTAAGTATCAAATACTGGAAAATATTAGAGAAAAAAAGATAGAGGCAGAAACTAAGAAATGCAAATGAGCGCAATGGTAGAGAGAATTTAATATTTACTTCCTAAGGAGTAAGAACATTTTCTGCATTATAAGGAGAATAAATGATCAACAACTCAGCAAGATCATTAAACTTAGCCCCAACGCTTCCACACATATAAGAGACATAAAAGAATGTTTCCACATTGCTGAGCAGCCTTGGGAAAACTAAGGTCTTATAGATATCACAAACATGAATTATAACACTTACACCCTTCTGGAGTCCTCAGAGTAACAAAGTCATTGGTGTTGTGTGCCTTGCTCAGACATTGAACCTGTACTTTAACCTGATATGTGGTATCTGGTTTCAAGACTTTCAATACAGTGTTTGTTTTATTGCTGTGGGTCTCCAGAGTCTTCCAGATGCTCTCTCCAACCACTCTGACAGAAAGAGCAAAGATATCGTCACAACAGAGCAGCAAGGGGTGGCTGAGACGTATGGCTTCGCTAATAAAGAGGTTCACTATAAACATCACAGTTTACCGAACATTCAGTGAAAATGAAGACCATAGCAAAGATGGGACCCACCTGTAGTAGACATTATACACACAAGAAGTAGAGGGCATTTTTTTGGGCCGCATCCAGGTCAAAGTTACATCCCCAGAGAAGTCAGCTGTCCATTGAAGATTCTGTACTTTGTAGACAGTTAACTCATCTAAAGAAAAAAAGGAAGAAGAGTCTAGAAATGTATGTATTACAAATCCTTAGATTTGAAAAGAGCTGTGCTTTTGGGTAGTGTTACCATGATCTGAACTGTCAGGAAATCATAATCACTATCTGAGAAGACATCCTAGAAGATGTAGCTGAAACTTCCTTCTACAAACTTTTCCTAGGGAAATTTAGGACTGCTCAGGCATGCTACTTTTCCTGGCACTTCACCTCCTTCCTGCATTTTGAGCTTGATTCTCAACAGAGAATGCTACAATTCCAAGGACAATGTCACAGCAGGATCTATTACCAAATACATTCCAGAGAAGACTGAACCAATGAGGAACCTAGCTCAGTCAACAATGGTACATCAGCAAGAAGTCCCCAGAAAACAAATCTAATACTGGAATTTCATCAACAGGGAGGAGGTGATAGGAAGTCACAGGAAGCTTCATGTAACTTGGTGCTCCAGAGTTGGATATGAATCTCTTCCACTTTCAGAGGAAGCAAAAGTTCTGAAAGGTACTAGGTGAACATCCCCACAACAAATGAGCCACCTAGCCCAGACCAGCCTGTGGGGCCAGCACTCACCACTGCAGGCTTTCTCATCACTCTCATCCGAGCAGTCCAGGAAGCCATCACAGCGCTCCGAGAGAACAATGCAGGCCTCGCCGTCCTCACACTTGAACTCCCGGCTCATACAGGTCAAGGTGCTGTGTGTGGCTGGAACATAGGCAACTTCCTTAAACCCATGGAGGAAATGCCATGTTGCACAAAAGGTCTGGGGTTATTCACCAGACTGTTTGGGAAGAACACTTTGAAACCTTTCTGAACTAATTGGCTTTGGCTTCCAAGTATGTCTCTGGAATGAGTAAAGTCTCCTCTTGCACTGTGGTACCATCTTACATAATAGTAACCACTGGGATCTTGTTCCAGCAGGATGCAAGCTCTGAAGTCAAACAAACTAAGGCATAAGTTTTTATTCTGCGTGAAGCTGCTTAACATCACCCAAGTTCAGTTCACCCTATTAAAACTGGGGTGACAATTCCATGACTACTTCATCTGTGGGATCTAATGAGATTGAGCACCTGCATCAGTGCCAGACTCCTGGCAGGTGTCAACAAACTGCACCTATTCCTCTATAAGACTAATTACTCTGTTCCTATTAGTTTGCAGTCTAGAATGATGCTCTACTTTCTGATTTGACTGATACAAATATGAGACAGATCACAATGTTAAGATGCACGCCCACTTGTATAGTGTTTTTTAACTGTTCAAGTTTACAAACTATTTTCACAGAAAATGAAATACATTAATGCAAAATAAAGAACAGTGAAGAGTTAATTAACTTGATGGCAGGCTATTAACTGAAACACTTCTCTCCAACAGGGAACGCTGGAAAAGAAATTATGCTAATGGAGAGGACAGACAGGAATGGCTATAGGAACTGGATCCGCTACCCCAGGGTGGTCTAAGCCAGGTGAAGTACTTCATACTTTCATGATTCTGGATCCTGGACAAGGAAGGGTGACATCAGCGACTCAATACCATCAGTAAGTGGGGTCTAAAATTAACGTTGTGCTTCTAGTTCAAAGATTCTCATATTCTAATCCCTGGAACCTAATAATAGATTGCTCTATATGGCAAAAGAAATTTTACAGATGTGATCAAATTAAGAACCTGTATTATCCAGGTGGGTGTAATCTAACCACATTTTGAGATATAGGCAGAGAAACTGGGTAATATTCATTGTATTACAGGGTTTGTCTCGGGAAGTGTCTAGGGATCGCACTACAGATAAAAGCATATTAGAGTATTAAAAAATGGTTCAAGAATTACTGCTATAATGGCTTCAGGAACCCAAGACAGAATTCACCCCTCTGTGCAGTGAACACTGATGAAGAGCCTACCATGAATCAGGTTCTATGCCAGTCGCTCAGAATATGATAATATGTCAAACAGACGAAGACCTACTCTCAGAGAGCTTTGCTTCCATTGAAAGAAACTACAAACAAGTCAACCAACAAATATGTCCATTTGTATAGTGTACCAGCTGCAGAGAAACACAAGAGTGTGAGTTAAAGGGCAGATGGGCTGCACCACTTTGTGCAGCATAATCAGGGAGGGACGTTGCTCAGAAAGGGATTATTCAAAAAATACAAGATCATCATCACAGAAGTTTTCCACTTGGTAAGAATGCGAGAAAATACCAGCAAACAGATGAGTAAGGCTTTTAAAGTAAGGCTTTAAAAGCAAAAGAACATAGGTTTCAGAATCTGGAAATCCGGTTGTCATTAGTCTCTAAAAATTCTTAAGCTGATTATTGAAGAGATGACTGATGGATCCTTAGCACAGAATGTAGTAGCCATTGGTTTTTCTCAGAAGAATCATGTCACACTAACCACATTTTGTTTTCGACAAGGTGATCAGGTTAATGGATTGAAAAAAATGATGGGGATGGCACATCTGGATTTTAAACCCCTTAACTAAACAGCATTGTTGTGAACAAGACAGATTTGAAGGGGCTGGGGATTTAGCTCAGCGGCAAAGCGCCTGCCTGGCAAGCGCAAGGTCGTGAGTTCGGTTCCCGGTACCGGAGAAAAACCAAA